TTTTTTTTTTTTTTTACAACAGTATACGTTAGTTTAACTCTTCTTCTTCGGATTACGCGCGACTGCAGCCAATTTTCTATTTTTGTAATTTTTTGTTCTTTTTTTATTTTTTCCTTCATTATATAAAATAGGTTATGTACAAGTACATTCAAGCCGTGGTTTGGTGCTATAAAAGTGAATTTAATTTATTTTCTTATTTCAGGTGTGTGTGTGTTGTGTATGTGCGTGCAATGAGTTGAAATAAAGTTTTTGGTTAGCGAATTGTTGCTTCTTTTATAATAGGATTGCATTAGCTAATTAGCTGTTTATATACATATTTAGTATGTAGTAGGTATGATATAGGGTGTTTACACACAAACTTACACATACTCATTGTCAGTTGGTTGTAAAGTAATTGGTTTAGTACTGTCGCTAGCAGTATTTGTAAATTGCATACGTACATATACATATATGAGAATAGGTATACATACATATACATACATATGTATTTACTTTTTTCGATTTTTTTTTTGTTCTTTCTTTAGTTTGCAAATTTCAACACGTAAATATTACGAGTATATAGGGATATTGTTCATTTGCGCTTGGGGTAAACATACAAATACATACATATATAGGTTAGGGAGGGTATGTAGACTTTCATATTAGGTATTTATTTATGTAACTAGACTAACATGTGTGTGCTGTTTATTAAGTCATAACTTACTGCATATACATAGCTGATATCTATTTATTATTAGTCAACGCTTTAATGTGTTTTTTTGTTTGTTTCTTAACTTTTTCGGCTCAAAGTTTTACTATTCGATTTATTCGGTTAAGAATTTTCGATATTTTTTTTTCTTTAAGAGTAAGTCTGCCACGTTGCCGTATATGGCATCTTAAGGTGTGTGTGTCTGTGTAAATGTTTAAATGTTTAAAGGAGCGGCGTGCGCGTGCGCAGTTTGTAATTTTCCAATCGCTTTATTTGCTTTAAATGGAAAAAAATATTAAAGCAAACGCATTTGAGTAAAAAATTAAATATTTACTTAATTCAACCACACAAAACTAAATTAAACTAAGCTAATTATCTCTACACATATACATATACATGTGCAAGTATGCACACGCATAATTATATACTATTCGCAACTCTAACATCAATGTGCGTTGTTGTGCTTTCGATTTGTTGCTAATTTTATGACTTGTCTTTCTTTAATTAATTTCAAAAAATTTGGCAAAAAGTTTTGGAAGCGCTAAAGTGTTTGTAATGTAGTTGTTTTGTTTTGTTTTTCTTCATCTAATTGCTTAAAGTAAGTAGTTGTTGGACCTAACATAGCTTCCTTAATAATTTAAAGCAAAAAAAAAAAAAACCAATAAAAAATCAAGACGAAAAAAGATTTATGTATATAAAATTTTTGTGGCTGTATTTTTGGTGACTAGTGCAATTGTACAAGCGTATTTTGTGGCTAGAATTTGAAATTTGAGATAACAAAAATATAAAAAAATATACCAAATTATCGAAAATTCATACCAAAAACTATTTAATTTTAATTAGTTTTGCATAAAAAGTATAGTTTATTCTCTAACAAAAACAAATTTTTTTTTAAATTTCGAGCTCTATAATTACATTTCTATAAAAAATTCTGAGTATGCCGTTTGGCAGCCCTTCCATTTGAACTTAAAGTAGCGAGGGCTTACCCTTGATTTTGCTCATTTTTTTTTTATATAAAAAATCGGCGAACATATCGCACATTTAATAATATATATAGAATTATTTCTTAATTTAAATTTTTTTGAGAAAACACAGTCAAAGTTTGATCAACTCATACAGTTGGTATACAAAAAGACAGATGGAAAGCCGCATATCTTCGCTATTTTTGAGAAGTTTAGTCATCTGTTAGACTGAACATATTCTCCTTATTAAGCTTTTTAATTGCATGATGAAATCTCCAAAAGCGTAAATTTTAAATTATTTCTATATATTATTAACACACAAAATATTTCTATTAAATCTAATTAAAAACCTCGAAATTTTTATTTATATTAACAATAGTTTTTCATAAAAATCGGCCTCCAGCTCAAAAAAATCTTTTATATTGCAAAAAGTTTAAAACTGGAATTTAACAGATTTTTGTTAGAGAGTAAACTATATTTTTATGTTTATATAAAAATTAACTAAAAATAAATAACAAAAATATTTTTTGTTAAAACTTTTCAATATGTGGTGTGTTTATAATTATGACACGGAGTGTAGTTACGTATATCATGGACATTATGTCCTGTACACTGAATGTATAAGTGAACTATCCATATAATTAGGCGCCATAGAGTCTCAGTATCAAATAAGCTCTAAATGCGATTTTGAATCCAACTCCTTGATCGAAGTGCTCGATAAGTGCCCGTTATTGCATCAATAAGATTAGATAACCTTAACCTAGGCTCGTCAACGACTATACTGATGCTTGGCAGTACCGACTATTGTATACTCTCACATACATTTGGCATAGGAAATACAAAGCTGTGATAGGTAACGAAGACCTCCACATATCCAAGGTTTTTCTAGTAACTGTAACTTTTTTTTGAAATCGTTCCAGTAATGTTGTATATACATATTTTAGAGCTTAGCTGAATGAGTAATTTTATAAACAAACCATTTGGGGTTTATATAAACGCAGAAATTGAGTGGTACATAGCAAAAGTTCAGTGTCAGGCAGTGCTGAAAGCTTCAGGCTGACACATAGGCATTGCAGACTTTTTTTTTAATTAAATTTTGGAACAAATGTCACAGCATTATAGAATTGAACTCACCAGCATTATGAGTGGAAACAACAAAGCTGATGAATTGGCAAGGAATGGAAGTACGTGGTAACCTCGACTGTCTTTAAACAGTTGAAACATACGTTCACCCGGTAGAGCCATAATTAGCTGCGACGCTGTACAGAAAACAACTGTACTTCCTGATAAAACTCTTAATTGGTACACATAGTTGCGAGCGCATTGAAGAACTATTCAAACCAATTTTTAACGCCTTCCAGATAGTATATAATATGATTATAATGAAAGCTTTCATAAATTTCAAAGCGTCAACCATGCGCTTTGCACCAGAGTGAGCTTTCTAACATCGAAGGGAATTGTGATCTCAATAAGGTATACCCTCCAACCATTACAATGTAAACTATCCTAATACCAATAGCTCATGAGTCAAAATGGAAAAATTCTTTAGAATAAGTTGTGCCCATTTGGAAAATTTTACTTGCACCAGAATTATGTTTTGTGATGAAACTGGTAGCAGCAAAGATATGCCAGAATCTAGCCTTTAAACATCGGTGGTCGAGGTCTTGGTTTTAGTTTTCCCCTTTAAAGGGATACATAACCTGAAACAGAGCGAAATTTACTTTTTAAGTTTTCGAAAGCATTCACTAAAGAAATATACCAAAATAAAAAACCTTCACTATCTTAAAATCTAGGTGAAAGCTCTTGAATATCCAAAACCGCACTTTTTGTACTTCCCCCAGTAATGTCCTTAAATTTACAGATTCCTCGTCAAATTCTTGTTTTTTAAGCAACAAAAGTTTAATGAAGTCTGGCTCCTTCTAGTCTTTTCAATGAAGAACTCTTTATCTAACAAAATCAGGTCCCTACTAATGCTTGAACATAAAAAGTTTTAAGTGAAAAAATATGGCATTCCCTCACGACAAAGAATTACACTGAACATGGCTAGCGCCGAAACTTGTATGTCTTCAAAAGAAAATTGACAAGGTATGACGGAATTTCATGTCAAAATCCACCGGAAGCATCAGCAAGCCGAAGTTGTTATTTTTAGGTTAAAGTGCCATCGCATCACGCTTCTCACTACTGTACTTTTATTGGCGCTGCCTGTGTATGCGTGTATCGTGTAACTTTACTAATTTTCAAAGTCCTGCCCAATATTATTTTAACTACACTTCTCTTAATTTTAACGTTTTTCGCTGACAAATTATTAGGTTCTAATTCATTATATTTCATTCAAATACTCTGCTCTACACTCGCTTATTTATTGCTGTTAATATTTTTTGAGCTTATACGACTTACTAAATCATAACGATTTTTGTTTTGTTTAGTTGTTTTTTTAGCGTTCCACTTAACGTTGTGTTATTTGCCTATAAAGTATAGTTTAATCTTAGATGATTTTTTATTTTTTTTTTTCAGTGTAATTGCCTGCTATGGCGCACACCAGCAGCACTCTCGTGCTCTCATTTAGACTTGAACTCATTTTTATTTTGATTTTATTTCCGAAGTTTTTCAACTTAAGCTGTTTGTTCACTATTTTTTTTTCTGCTTAGTATAAATAATTTTTAGCTAATTTTCGTCGTTTCTCTGCTGATTTTCCTAATACATAAACATACTTATGCTTGTGTTTTTTTTTTTGTTTTTTTTTAATCTTCTAGTGCGTGTGAGTATTCATATAATAATTATGCTAATTTTTTTTGTCTACATATAGTGTATTTGCTTAATATATAAACTTAATTAATTTAGTGCGATTCGCCTGGCTGCTGTACTCCCCTGGCTCGTCCTGTCTTCGACATGACTTCGCCTCAACCGGTACACGCCTAGCGTGACACAGCACTTCCTCTGTTCTGTGCTGCCTTTTCTTGTATGCTTTACGCTTTTCTGCTCGGCGGCGTTTCTCATCTTACTTCTCCTCGCCCAGCAACACCAGATCGTCGGCAACCACGTCGCTGACATGCAAGTAAATGATCCAATACATCAGATTGAAGCAAACGAAACACACGGGGAACACTATGCGCGAATATTTGTCAATGTCTGATGGCGTTATGCCCAGCAGCTTGTTGATATCCTGTGTGTTGTAACAAATTTTGTAAATTATAGGAAAAATTAAAAAGTTAAAAAAGCGACGAATAAAGAGAGAGAGAAAAAAACAATCGATTAGTATGATCACAAAATTCTCGCGGTGTATATGTTTGGGCTGGAAATTACTTTTTTTACCTTGCCCGGGTGTAATAAATGGGATGGTACAGCCGCTTCGGCGTCCCCACCTTCGGGCGCTCCACCTCCGCCGCCGCCGCCACCGCCACCGCCACCACCTCCTCCGCCCCCGCCGCCGCCACCGCCTCCACCTCCGCCACCGCCACCTTGGGGTCCGGGTCCGGGTGGGCCAACCGGCGGTCCGCCACGTCCACCGTTCACAGTATTCTCTAGCGTGCCGCCTTTGGAATGGGCCTTCGGATCGTGCACCTTGAATCTCACCTCCTGGAACAAGGGTCCCACTATCGAGCAACCGCGCGAACCAACGTTTTGTTGCATATTTGAATAGCCAATTGGTCGGTTACTCACTGTTTGTTTTGGCGCATGAGGATGACCATGGCTGTGGCCATGACCATGCCCATGTCCATGATCGCCCGCACTCGGATTGGGATTGGGCGGTGGTTGCGCCCCATCCATTTGTTGCTGCTTTTTTTGCTCAGCTATTTTTTGGATCGCCATAAATCTTTGTTTTCGCATTTGAATTCGTTTTGCCATATAGCCGACGGTGGCGTATTCTATAGATTTATTTTGTTTTACAATTAAAAATTTCAAATTTTTTTTTTTTTTGTTTTTTTGTTTTTTTAGTTTTTTAATTCAAATTATGTATCGATCAAAATTATCGATCAGTTCAATCATTGTGAATTAGTCATTTATAGAAATCAATTAAGTTTATTAAGTATCAATTGTTGAATGAAATGTTTGGTTGGTTGGTAGATAAGCAAGCAATTGGAATTGGTTTCAAATTTGGACATCGAATTGGGAATATAATTTTGGCGTATTTCGATTCGAAATTCATATTTGGAGATAATAATAAACGCAATGTGGTTTTTTATTGTCCAATTGTGTTTCATTTTCGGAATGTGCGGGGTAGCAGGAAAATAGAATGAGAAAATAGAAAAATAGAATATTAAATAACATAAAATAATAAAAAAAAATTTTATTAGCTAATTGTGCAAAAAATAAAAAAGCACATCAAAAAATAAAAAAGTATTTCTGTAAATACAATGCGGACAATATTCTTGAATACACCTACATTGAGGAAAAGAAAGTGCAGAGAGTGAAAAAATTGTATGGAAAGGTGGAAGGAAATTTGTTTGGAAAGGCAGTATTAGCATTTTGGATTAAAGTGATGAGACTTTGAGCATAGATTTTCTGTTCGAAAGCATTTAAAATATATACAAATATAAATTTTTTCTTACACATTTTTCTATTAAATTTTAATTTGATACCCTTCTTTTCTTATTTAATTAATGTATCAATGCAATTTTATTTTTGTATAAACTTCAAATAATTTTTTTTATATGTTTTTATATATTTTATGTTTTTATCCAATTATACTTTATTTTATTTTATTTTAATTTATTGTATTTAATTTTTATCTTACTTTTATCATTTTTGTGTGTTTATATTACTTATCTATTTATTTATGGTTTTATCTATTTAATTATGGTTCTTTATTTCATTTTATATTATTTTTTGGTGTACTTTAATTGATTTTATTTTATTTTATGTCAATTTATTATATTGATTTTTTTGTTCGTTTTATTTTATTAAATTAAATTATTTATTTTCCTTTACTCATTTTTTGTGTTTATTTATTTGTTATTTGTTCTAATTCAGCTATTTAATTTTATATTCTGGTTTTTGTTTTATTTTATATTAGTTTTCATTATTTCATTATGCTGTTTTTTATTCTGATATTTTATTTGATTTTAAAAATGTTATTTAATTTATTATTTGCTGTTTTTATTTCATTTTATTTTTTGTTTTATTTTAGTTTGTTTTATTTTATTGTATGTTAATTTATTTCAATCATTTTTTTTAATTCCTTTATTTTTTATTTTACTTCACTTATTTTTATTTTTTATTAATTTATTTCCGTATTTTACTTTTTTATATTAAATTTCCTTCTATTTTTTTTAATTAATCTATTATTTTTTAATCTGTTCTTTAGTTTAATTAATTTTTTTATTTGCTTATATTTTATGTTATTTGATTTTGTTTTTTTTTATAATTTATTTTATTTTGCTTCATTTTATTTTTTTTTTCATTTTATTTTATTTAAAATACTTAAATAAATTTTTTTTTTATATTTTATTTTTATTTTTGCTTTATGTAATTTCGTTTTATTTTATAAAATTTTTTATTTTTGTAAATTTTTATGCATCTACAGACTTATTTTATTTCATTGAGGTTATTTACTCTTGTTTGGTTATCAGGTTATCTAGATAAAAATTATTAAAGTGTAGTGTTTTTTATTGTTGTGAACTGAATAAAAAAGATAACCACATAAGCTGATAACCAAGCAAGCGTGAACAACATCACTATTTTAACCCACCTCAAAGAAAGGAATAGATACGTGGTGCATATTTTTTAATTTAACATCTTTTTATCATTTAATTTCAAATAAATAAATTTTTTGAATTTTTGCATTATATATTTTCATTTTGTCATTTGTTTTATTTTTTATATTTTCTGTCCAATAGTTTTAATTGTTTATCTTATTTTATTTATTTCATTTCATTTTATTTCACACTAATACTATTTCGTACAAAAAAAATCTCATCGCTTTGGGAAATATTACAAGGTCAGTGCTTAGCTACGAAATTGTATGAATACAAATACTAAAGCAAAATTATCGACATTCTAATGCACAAATTAAAAATAAATAAAGAAATGCATAAAAGAAAATTCTTTCTACATAAACAGTGTATATTTTATATAAAATAATCTTTAAACAAGTATTTTTTTGTAAAAATGTGTAATGCAAAAGTAAATTAGAAAATTTGCGTAAAGCTAGAAAGATTTTAATGTCAAAATTTAAATAACTTTACATACGAAAAATTTATTATAAAATATGAAGTTTTTTTTAACAAACAAGAAAATTGCTTAGGTTAAGTTTTAAATATTTTTTCTGCTCTTCATTTCGAATACTATCATTTAAAGAAAATTCTTTAGAATGTTCACTGAGCTTCTGTTCTCCTCTCTTCTTCTTGCTCAGCCAATATTCCAGTCAAAATGTGAATTAATCGAACAGGCACTTTTGTAATGTGACATAAAGCGGAAGTGATCTCAATAAACACAAAATTAAAATGTTTATTATAAATGAGTTAAAAATAAATTATGGAAAAGTAGCCTAAGGTTGTTATTTATTTGCTGAGATTATAATTGAAATCAACATTAATATACATACTTATTCAAAGCTTTTAGTATTTCATAGTTTTTAATTATTTTGTTTGATTTGACGCAGTCAATGTTTTAGGGAGTTGGATAAATTTTTTTAGTTTTTCATTAATAAAAAAATTCGAAAAAATAGATTCCATT